AACCTATGTGCAAAATTTAACTTTTAACCGCTTTTATCATTTACTGTTATTTTATCAAGAATTGCAACATCGTGGAAACACATCTCGAACCACGTCACAATCAATGTACCCGTGGTTAGAGCTACATTTCAACTCTGTTGAGATTGGGATTTGGGTCACATAAATGTGCACCCGAGTTTAGGAAGATAACATTATTAAATACGCGCCTAAAGTGACTAGCGTATCATTTACTTTGGGTAGGGCCGTTGAATTTTACTAAACGGTCCATCCCGAAGTCTAAGCAATTTTAAAGCAAATATTTACTAAGGGCCCCGCAATTTTGTATTTTTATTTGGCGAGGCTCATCTTATTCTTATTTTTTTTTAAAGGAATTTGCAACGTCATGGATACGCATCTCGAACCACGTCACAATCAATGTACCCGTGATTAGAGACGCATTTCGATTCTGTTGAGATTTGAATTTGGGTCACATAAATGTGCACCCGAGTTTAAGAAGGTAAGATTTATTAGAGCGCGTCCTAGAGAGACTAACGTATTGGTATTTTGGGAAAACCGTGAAATTTGCTAAACGGCTCATCCCGAAGGCTAAATAATTAAAGCCATACATTTTGTGAGGGACCCGCAATCTACGCGTTTTATTTGGCGAGGCTCGTCTCATTTTTATTTTAAAAGGATATCCTAAAATGACTACATTTTCTCTATTAAATCCGTCTCTGGAATAAAACAATCGGGAAGTACTTTTCAATTACCTACTCGCAAAATGTGATAACCAGTTGATTGGATCGGAAAAGTAGACATGCATATGGCAACCTTGTTCATCGATGGGCATACGTATGAGGTTCAGTTAATTATTCCATACACGCTTAACACTTAAAGGCGAAAAGACTGAAACTGACCCTATCTAACTTAGGTGATACCACTACATGTTTCAGGCGACATTTATCCAATAACATGACCTATGCGATTTTTATCTTTTGCGATAATCCAAACTGCCTAGCATGCCTTTGAAATATATATTATCTACTGATGAACCAAGGTGAAACAAACGCGATTACTGCATTGTCATTCTTAACCGACCCTATGTGAAACCATTGTTGGCCGAACATCACTACTACACCATTAGTTTCTTCTTGATTAACATACACCGACAAATTACTAGACCAAACTCTTATAGACTGAAAACTATTCCATTACACAGTTTGGAGGTCAAACTTTACATGTCGGGTATACAGAATGTTCTAAACTACAAACATCAAAAAGATAAAAATGACTACACTATATTCAGACTGCAATTCTTCTTATACTCTTATTCATGCTCCAAGTTCATCATTACACCAGTGAAATTAGAATGTGTACCTGGATGTTGGACAATAAGAACGAGAATGATATCAGCAGCAATCAAACAGACAGCAGTAATACAGCAACAACAAACAACAACAGTATGACCACTAGTTCACGAACAACCAACAGCAGTTTCAACAACGATAAACCCACAGGTGGCCGAGCACCAACCAACAATCCCAGAACATAGTAGTAAACCAGCAGAAAAACCCAGAATATTCAAATGCAATAGTAACAGCAGTTCAATAATCACAACAACTCGACGAATAACCAACAACAGCTTCAATAGCAATAAGACCAGAATCAATCAGCAGCATACAGAAGCCCAGAATACAGTAGTAATCCCACAGAGAAATCAGAATACCCTAATGAGATAGTAACAGCCCAAACCCTTTAAAACTAACAGCTTTATTTCTCTCTGAACACTTAATAATTTTCCAACCTATGCTCTCAATACTCACTGACTTCTCCCCGTTCGAAGACCCCTTTCTTATTCTAAATAAACCTATTTATAAGCAGAAATGGCAGGCTCCAGGCTGCCTTTGATCCCTTCAGCCTTTTCCTGCCCATAACTCCTTTAAACTAATCAAAACTTCCCCAAAGCCCATCCTCTTGACAGCCCCCCTTAGCATGTGTTTTCTGCCCAAAGGTATGGGCAGCCTATAGTATTTAATCAAAATTATGGGTGTCTACTTATTTTAATTGACCTCCCACATGCCATTTAATCTTATTCCCCATTATTGCCTTAGTTTAAACCTATTATGGTACCCTACTGTCAGCTCAACTTAAACTAATCCTTTTTTGCTCTTTTCAAACCCCCAAACTACCCCTGTTAGCCCCCCAGCTATTACTGTTTTACCCTGAGCTTTGGCAGTCTGAGTTTAAACTTTCTGAAAGTCCAAACTTAAACCACCCTAACTAAGTTCCAGCTAGTGCACTGCAACCATGAATCATTCACAGATAGTGTGAAACACCAGCTAAGCGACAATGGTTCGAAATAATCATATATAGCTATACAAATCAGAATGTTTGATCATTCAATCCTATAAAGCTAATCGACGATGTTTATCTAATCAACTATATTAATCATGATGTAGAATAATCAGTCGATCAAACAAATGACATGAACGGGGCATTAACTGTCTTCAACCATTTTGCACGACATAGGGAATCTATATGACTAACGACATTAATTAACTCGAGCATGTATATCACAAAACGTATTCAAACATACACAGAAGAACAATCGACCACATAAAGGGTCTTACGAAGACGGAGAACAAATTGGAAACTAAATATTCGAAATACCAAACAAGATAACCAAACATGCTGACAAATTGAAACA